CTTTGGTAACTGTTAGTCCATTCTTGGGTTCTGTGCTTCTGCTGCTGTTTTGTTCTAAAGTGGTAAATTTTATTATGTGTGTTTTACCACAATTTAAAAGAGAGAGAAAAAAAGTGTACATACTTTGTACAAGTCTTCGTGGTGTATGGTTCATATTTACACCCGAGTTCTGTGTTCCTGTCCAGGAGGCAGTCTTGTTGCTGGTTGGGGGATGGCACAGTTCCCAGCTACAGCGCCTGTTGGAAACTGCTTTGCTAAGCCGTTCATGCCCTATAGTCAGGCTTGTCCAGATTGGAATGCAGCTGGGATTTGGGAGTGACTGTGCCCACCCAGGTCTCAGGCTGGAATATTCTGGAAGCATCTGGTTTTCTGTCTGCTCCTGGAATGGCTGGTACCATGTCGGGCTGATTCTGTTCATTTCCGACTTCAAGGCACTCCCCTTTTCTTCTTTGGCTTAGTAGAATCCTGATTTTGCTTGGGGTTGTGGGATGCTCTTCTCGAGGTACTGGATCATGAGTGGTTCAACTAGTCTTGACATTCTTTCTCTGCTCCCTGTGGTTTTTCAGGATTACTTAGCCTTGTGGAGAAAAGGGGTGATAATGCTGGCTTTATCTTGTCCTCTTTCTTTCTGCTCCAACTGTGAATGTGATGCCAGAGTGGGTGATGGTTCTCTGAGACAGTGAGGTGCAGGTCAGGGGATTGGGGTTCTGCCCATGACAGAGCATTTGAAACAGCTTTCTACTTCCAGACTAAGTAGATGAGAAGAATAAACCTTCTTTGTTTTTTAGGAGTGTAGCTCCTTGTATTTGGGTTTTCTGTTTCTTGTTGAGCAGAGCTTTTTTCGTTTATTCTTCAGGGATGCTTTTTTCGTTTATTTTTCAGGAATGCATCTGCCTCTTCAGTGCATGCAGGCATTGCCCAGTGCCTGGCATGTTATCGGTCCTCTATAAATGCTTGTGAATGATTGAAAAACACACCCTATCTTACTGCATTAGGGTTCTTCTGGTTGCAAGTGACAGCAAGCCATTTAGACTTCAGCAAAAAGGGGCACATGTTGACTCAAGTAAGAAAACTAGGGGTTGAGTTGGATCGAGGGGCTCAGCATCCTCCACATCTCTCTCAGTCCCCCTTCTGTCTGGGTTGGCATCTTTCCCAGGTAGGCTCACTCTATATGATTATGATTATTAGAGCTCCTATTTCTAAAATAGTGGTCAGAAAACTTTTTCCTTAAGGATCAGATAGGATTTTAGGCTTTGTGGGGTAGGATCTCCGTAGTAACTTCCCAGCTCTACCTTCTTAACAGAGAAGCAGCCAAAGACAGTATGTAAACAGATGGCTGTGACTGTGTTCCAAAAAAACTTTACTAACAAAACAGGTGGTGGGCCAAAAGTGGCCCTCTGTTCATTGCTTGCTGACTTCCATTCTTGAAGGAGACAAGGCCTGTGTCCTAGTGGTTCAGGTAGAGGTTGCACAGAAGACCAAGTAGTCCTGGGCTGGGACTAAGATGAGGCCAGTGAGATACTCACTTTAGCCTCAAAATTGATGGGAGCACCAAAAACTCAGCTATCAAGATGAATAATATTTTCATGCAGTATTAAAAAAATCAAAACTAATACAGAAAAATCATGATGCACAAAATATCAAACAAGGGCCAGGATGAGGGTGGGTATGAGGGAGGCCAGGCATGGCGCACACCCTGCTGTGGCCAGGTCATTGCCCAGCCTGAGTTGCCTGCCTGCCCACCCCCGTGGGAAGGAGAGATTGATAGTGCTGAAGGCAATTTCCCAAGGAGCATGGTTCCTCTTTGGTTCCTGAAGACCGGCAGGATGCTGCTTGCCTACTGGGGTCCTTGGCACTAAGCACTTTCCATGTAAGCTCTATTTTCCTGTTTTTCCCTTTATACCAGGCAGCATTTTACAGATGAGGAAAATGAAGGGCAAAATTAGTTGCCCAAGGTCACACAATGCCTGAACTGATCTTTGAGCCAGAGTTTTTGTCCTTTTTGGCTTCCAAAGTATGAATTCTTGCATTATTGACATCGATTAAAGTTGAGCCTGTTAGGAACCTTACCAAAGGCCCTGTGCTGTCTATCGGTCACCCTCTATTAACAAGTGCCCCCAGATAGCTCGCTTCAACACTCCCTTCCTGGCTCTTGTTCTTGTTGGCAGATGGCTTTCAGGAGTCCAGAGAAGAAGAAGCCCTTGCCCACTTTTGGAATTAGCCTCTTGTTTCAAAGCAGTGAGAGACTGGTATATATTTCCAAATTAAAGTATGGACACTGCAAGTGTTTTAAGTGGCAGGTGAGCTGCACTTTAAATAGGCCACATTAATTCTGGCAGTGGAAGTGGAGCCCTACTGGGATAATCCTTATCATCAGCAGCATCGCTCTGGCAAGCTTTAGAAGGATTCTGCAGCAGTAAGCAATTTGCAAAATTGAAAGGTAAAAACACACCGTTCATGTTTCATGTGTATTCAAGATCAGAGGGAGGTAACTGCAGTCCTCAGGAAAGGCAGGATGCAGGTGGGAGTCATTTGATTTGAGTTGTGACGGAGTTACAGATGGATTTACACACTGGTTGATGTGTTTCAGAACAAGTTAACTGAATAACCCAGGTCCCCCGCCCTGGTTTCTGAGAGAGGCTTCCAGTGGAACCAAGGCAGTAACACTCTTGTATGGTGTGTGCTGACCTTATGGGTTTGGGGAGGGGATTAGTGTGTCATTTGGGGACTGACAGAGATGGCAGTCCTGTGTGAACTGCCCTGTTGGTGGTGTTTCCAGTCCCTCTTGAGGTGTTTATTTGAAATGATCCTAGAGGTTGAGTTGACCCACAGGTGTGTATGCTCATATGCGTATACATTTAGATGCTGTTAACAGAAATGGGAAATGAGGAAATGACACAAATGCTCTCGTATAAGAAAGTAATTATTAAACATGTGGTGGTTGGTCGTCATGGGCTGGGCCTTGTGCTCAGTACTTTACCTCCTGTTCTCCATGGACCCCCAAACCCAGGTGTTTCTTTACTTGGGGGCTTATTTTAAGGAGGAGGAATTGAAGCTTAGCATGGTTGAGTGGCCTGCCCAGGGTCATTCCTTGCCTGACCTCCCCCACCTGTTATCCTGTCTGCTAGATGGGATGCTTGTTAGGCACGGGTCCTTCTTGTCCCTCCTTGGCAGCCCACACCCTTGCCCAGCTCATGGCTCCTAGGAAGAATGCAGTCTCTGCTGATGTAACCGAACTGAAATACCAGCATGAGCTTTTGTGGAGCTGGTGTTTGGTCTGAGGAGATGTGTGTATTTGCCCCCTTCTGGAAGGGAGACCAAAGATCTTGTCGTATTTTCAGAGGGGCCTATGAGCCTGTTTAGCTCCTGGATTAGAATCCCCATCTGGCAGCAGAGACTCAGCATATTCTCTCTGGGGGTAGTAAGCAGTTGTGAACACGATACTTTCAAAGGAAGCAGAGCCTTCCTTCCCTTGTGTGTGAGAAGGCAGCGTGAGGGAGCGGTTTGCAGTCAGCTGTCTCCAGCCTCCTCTTCTGCTGGGCCACTTGCTGACTGTGCATCACTGCACAAGTCACCTCACTTGTCTAGGCCTCGGACTTTGCCTCTGAGATGGAGACAGCCTTGGGGGTTGTGAGAACTGGGGTCAGGTACAAAGTGTTCAGTGCAATGGTTGGTATGTAGTAAATGCTCAATAAATATAGTGGCTGTTGCTTTTGGTGTTATTATTATGAAAAATAACATGAAAAATAGCATGAAAAAGTGTTGATGAGCCAATGTTAAGTAAAGAAAATTGATCACAAAATTAGATATGCACAAGAATTATGACTAAGAAATGTGTGTGAATCAACAGGTGGGATGTGAGAAGATACAATGACTGTTTTGTGGATAAAGACAAACTTACTTAGCTTTCCCTAAAGCCTTAAGTCTGTTCCTATTCTCCAATCTATGGCAGTCTCTCCTGGGGAGCTAGGAATGAGAACAATTAGTTATATACAGATGTTCAAAGCAGTATATAGTGAAAACTGGCAATATATCATGTTCCCAGCAGTAGAGAAATAAATTATATTTAACTGGAAAACCATCAAAAATCATGTTTTCAAAGGTCTTTGAATATTACAGGAAAAATGTTTATGATCTAGATAAGAAATAAACCAGGATACAAAACTATATATATGTATGAGTGTGTGATGTGTATATATATATGTACATCACACACACACACACTCGCTGTGATGGCATATGAAATTCTGATGACTGCTCTAACAAACCACACGCTTCGAGGCCTAAAGCCACATGAACTAATTTTCTTACAGTTAGGGAGGGCTGAAGTCCACAGTCAGTCACGCTAGGCTAAACTTACAACAATGATGGCAGGGCTGCTTCTTTCTGGAAGCCCTAGAGCAGAATCTCTTCTTGCCTCTTCTGACTTCTGGTGGCTTCTGGGATTCCTTGGCTGTGGCCCCATCATCCCACTCTTGGCTTCCTCGGCCATGTTGCCTTGTCCTCTTATACCTCAGATCCCCCTCTGCCTCCCTCTTTCAAAGACTGGAGATTACAGTGGGTCCACAGAGACTACCCAGGATAACCCCCCCTTCTCAAGACCCTTAATTTAATCACCTCCACAAAGTCTCTTTTGCTATGTAAGTTAACATTCACAGGTTCCAGGGATTAGGATGTGATTATATTTGGGGGCCATGATTCAGCCTATTGCAGATGTCAGTTTTGTATAAAACAGAAAAGTACAGGAGAAAAGAGTGGAAGGAATACTTGACAATGTATTTTCATTTTCTAGGGACAGTGGTCATCACTAGATGGTAGATTGGGGGTCATTGTTATGTTTGGCATACTCTCTGGTGTCTTCCTTTTCTGTATTAAGGAAGTAACTCTTAAAATCCTCAAAACTAAAAAAAAAAAAAATCCTCAAAACTGCCCAGAGACCATTACCCCAGTGCATTGCCCATCCCTGGTGGTGAGCCACGGCCTGTCCACTCTCTGTGCAGAGCCGGTGTTCTGGTTCTACGTGAAGGAGGTCCTCAACAAGCACGAGTTGCAGCGCTTCTGCTCCCTGCACCACATCACCTCCCACGTGGGCCGTGGCTGGGCCTGGCTGCACTGCGCCCTCAACGAACACTCGGTGGAGCGCTACCTGCACATGCTCCTGGCCGATCGCGGCAGGCTCAGGTACCCGATGCGGGGCTGGGAGGGCGTGTAGCCAAAGGGTTAGAGTCATGCAACCTGCAGTCATCCTGCCTAGGTTTGCATCCTAGTCCCTCCCTGTGGGGCAAGTAGGTTCCCCTTCAAGAGCCCCAGTCGTTCAGCTGTGCTATGAGGCATTTGGTGGGAGAGTAACTAGAACTGCCTGTAAAGGGTTCAGCATGGCTCCCGTGTGTAGCGAGCGCGCTTGATGCTGTTACTGGTAAAGCCACAGGTGTGCAGAAGCTGGCTGTCTTAGGACGCAGTGAGCTTTTAGTTTGGGCTTCTTTCAGATTCAGAGCTTCTTTCTCTTTAGATGTGGGGTATTTAGGACTCAGTTTCATATTTGGTCTTTCCATGTGTGCTGGGTTCTTTACAACTTTTGGATTTTTGAAGTTACTCCATCCCAAACTGACTGAAAAAAATATAGAAGTTATATGTTGGGGAGAGAAGTCATTTGTCATTTAAGAAGAATGAATTCTATTATGTTTTCTTTTTTTCTTGCTCATAAACAAAAAGTTCACTCTGTCACTTAGTATAGGGCAGGCCATGCTGCCATAACAAACATCACGAAACTCCCAGTGGCTGAGATAGCCACATGTATTTCCTCTCCCTGCTGCAAGTCTGTCATGGCTGCATAGGGGTTTCTCATCTCAGGACCCAGGCTGACTGCAGGCTCAGTTTCTGTAAATGCTTTCACAATTGCCAAGGCAGGAATAGGGGATGTGGTTGAACAAAGCACTGACTTTTTAAGCTTTTGCCTGCAGGGTTACTTCACTTTCACTCACATTTCATTGGCAGCAAGTCACATGGCAAAAGGCACGCTCAGCTTTGGGGAGTATGGCTGTCCCCAGTGATGTGGCTGAAGCACTGAATATGCATCAGCCATAGTGCGGCCGGCCACATTCCCGTCAGAAATGCCTGACTATTCTCCTTTTTCCTGTATTCATGATGCTTATGATATCTCTGTCTTTGTCCCTGTCTCTGTTATTTTCCTTCTGAGAATGGTGGACAAGACATGTCATTTTGTGTCACCAGAGGGACAGAAATCGATCCTGTCCTGGTCCCTTGACTAACTTCCACATCAGCAGTGCCCAGATCCTCAACTTTGAAGTTTCATATAATTAAGTAATCTGGTGCTTCATTAGTGCCATGGTGCATTCCTGTGATGTCATATCTTGCTGTGTGTTTCCTGCTCAAGTCTCCTCTTGTGTTTCTTCTGCTGCTTGTGGTCATCCAGTAATGATACCAGTCACTCATTAGGCATTCTGGAAAGGTACGCTAAATCTCTTACAAATACCCTTGAAGTTCTTCCGCGGATGTTGCCTGTGGCTCCTTGTCCAGTTGCATGCCCAGATTGTGCGTCTGAAATGGGACGGATGGGCGCCAGGATGACTGGCACTGGCTGTACTTGTGTGCTGCTTGGGGTCTGAGGCGGGAGGCTGTGAACGTCTGTGTGTAAGCATTAACCAGCTTTAGTTATGGAGAACATACTCACATTTCTTAACAATAAATTTTCGTGAAACTCTTCCCAGCAGATCGTTTGCAAGTAGTTCTAAGTTGCACACTCACTGTCAAGGCAGCCTTTAACTATGAACAATTGAAGTGGATTCAGCTGTTAGGATCACACTTGATCTTACCTGAATCACTAGCCACTTACCCAACTCAGTGTGGGAAAACCAGATTAATTGACATGCATGAAAACTGGCTCAGATTTTTAAAGAATCACAGTTTTGGAAATCAGAGGTATGGTTGCAAAGTGTAGTTTGGGCTTCCACTGATATTCTGCTGAGTGACTATTGAAAGTGATGCATCTCTGTTCTCTTTTTGTTAGTTGTATTAAGTCACTAGAGCAGCTAATGTGTCCAGTTGCTGCTGAGTTGTAGGTCACTCATGACTGACTGTGCTTTAGTGAAACTGAGCTTTCACTCCATTAACTTAGAGTTCTTGGGTCTGGCAGGGAAGGGAGTCGGGGGTTGAGGATATTTGCTTGATATTACTTAGCAGGGGGTTGGAAAGAGAGCTGGGGAATTGCACTGGGAGACCTGCTTTTGAGCCCTGGCTGTACCATTTATTGCCAGATGACCTTGGACAGACCCTGCAGGCCTCTCTGAGCACCATCACCCACCTCACACATACACACTGCCATTAGGATTTTTGGGGCTCTTTTTAGCTTCACAGGCCTTCTGAGGGATGACTTGGACTTTTGGGTCTGCAGCCTAAGCAGATGTTACATACTGGTGCCCTGGCTGATGGAGCCATGGAACTCTAATTTCGTTCTGAAATTGTCTCTCCTTGTGTTAGCCCAGTCAGGGGTCTTTCCATCTCATGGAGACACTGTTTGAGTTCAAGTCACCCCTCTGTTTGTCCCCTCCTCCTTTGCTGCTTCAGAACTATCATGTTTACATCTCATGCCTATTTCAGCACTCTGAAGCTCAGGGGACCCTAGAGATCTCAGGGGACCAGTGAGGAAGTCGTAGGATATGTGTTCAACCCTGTTTATACAGGAAGCTTCAGTCCAGCAGCCACCTCATATATCCACTCTGGGGTGACCAGGCATGGATTTTCCAGGGAGCCACCTAATGGAATTGTCTGGGTAATGGATGCAGAGAACCACTATTCAGAACTTTTTCCCTTTCTCTTTCAATTCTCAGCACTTTTTGTGAAGATTGGTCTTTTGTGATGGATGAACAAAGGTCTAGCATGCTTCCTACCATGGCAGCTGGTAAGCCTGGCCAAGGCCAGGGGTGATGGGCCCTGTGAGGCTTGGTGAGCAGAGGCTGCCTGGGAGTGAATTTATAACTCCAAGGGATGCTGTGGTTTTCCCCATCCCTGACCAACTTCAGGAGTCACTTGCCACTGTCCTTCCTTTAGCGTACTGAGCATTGAGTCCATTTCTCTAGAATTTGATAGTCTGGCAGGGAAAGCATGGGATTGAGGGAGTTTGGGCTGTGGCTTTGCAAGTGTAATATAAAGATCTGGGGAATTGGAGGTGGGAGACCTGCCTTTGAAGCCTGGTTCTACCCCTTACTGGCTGGTGCACACCCATCACTTTTGTTGCCTTTACTTTCCTCCTGTGTGCAGGGAAGGTGGGGATCCGGTAGCATAGCAGTCCCTGTAATGACACTGTGTGCTATGGAGTCATGTACGTAATTTGCCAATGTGGAAGCCCTGGACTGATGTCAGCTGGTGAATTGTTAAATTGCTTATCAAAGGATGAACCCGATACAAGTGGGTAACCTGCTTCTTTTTTCCAAATCCTTTGTTGCCTCCTCTTTTTTTGTTCTCCTTATAATTTTTGCCAAGTACCAAACATAGAAAGTTATGTTAGTTTTGTCCATTGAAGAGGAAAAGTCGGGGGGTGACCATGATTCCTTCTGTGGGCTATGGGATACCAGTAAAAGTTTTTATGTAAAGTAATAATAATGATAGTAATAATGATATTGGCACACAGTTTTTGATTGCCTCTGACCCGAGTGTTTTTGTGGGTGATGATCCTTAATAGTTACCCTGTGAAAGAGATATTGTTGTCTCCATTTCACAGGTAGGGAAACAAAAGCTCAGGGAGGTTATAAATGGCTTGACCAAGGTCTCATAGCCAGTAAGTGGCCGTGCTGGGATTCACCCAAGGCAGTCTGACCCCCAAACTTATGACTTATCCTCCCCTTGGTTGACTTATTTGCACTTGTCTTCCTGACAGAAAGGGAGAGAATTTGGAAAGATTCAACATCTGTGGTGGCTGGTGTCTTCTGACCCCAGTTTTGCAGGAGGTCTTTATTAAAATTTAAGATCAGCGTGTACTGTACCAACTGCAGCTTGTTTATCATGTTGGGGTCACAACTGGGTTTTCAACAGCAGACACTCCAGACTTTCCCCTTTTCCTGGCAGGTTTGAACTCTATACGCTTTGCAAATAACATTGACAACAAGGACTTAAATGGTCAGAGTAAGTTTGCTCCTACTGTCTCAGACCTCCTAAAAGAGTCAACGCAGAATGTGACCTCCTTGCTGAAGGAATCCACGCAAGGAGGGAGCAACCTTTTTAGGGAGATCATGGCCTCCTCTGCAGTCTCTAGCCTCATCAGACCTGAGCAGGAGACTGACCCTCTGCTTGTCGTGTCCAAGCATGTCACTGCCGGTAAGGGAGAAGGGGTGTGTGAGGCAGAGCAGAGGGGGTTGGGTGAAATGATGAGAGACTGGGGCGAGGTGGGCACGACTCGCATCTGAAAGTGCTGAGGGGAATGAAATCCGATACACCTGTCTGTCCAGGTCATGTTTGTGTTTATTCGTCTTGCCTTTAATTTGTTTGGAAGGGACCTGAGAGCCTTCTTGAAATGTGGTGATGATAAGGTAGGAGAGCAAACAGCTCAAATGAACAAAGTAAAGGTCGGGGTGTGGTAGTCACATGAAGCCAGGTGAGGCTGCTCTTCATTTATCCCCATCCATTCTTTTGTTGTTCATTTATTGCATGCTGAGTAAGACGATTACTAGCGTTTAGCCTACAGTCTCCTTTGGGATGGGTGGGGGTAGACATTTAATGACAAATTATACAAATAATTTGTTACCCTTCTGGCAAATGGGATGGAAGCCAAGCGTAGGGAGCTATGGGAAATGCATGCTGTTAAGGGATGACATTTCAATGGAGGCTACAGGGAAGGGAGCAGTTGAGCAGCTTTGACTGTAGGCCACCAGGAGGCAAGAGAAAGTTGATTCCACTAAGATTAATTTTGAGAGAAGTTTATAATACCCATGAGCCTTCGGGGACACCCAGAATGTTGTTGCAGCAAAATTGGAAATTTGAGGTTAAGTTCTTAGTCCTAGTATTCTCAAGTCCCTTGAACGAGGCAGTAATCATGGTCATCTCTCTGGGATTATTGATGGTGAAAATGCAGAATCTCATGGAGTGTTTGGTACATACTGGCTTTATCTATCTTGCCTTCTTCTCCAGCAGAGACCCCATGAAAATGACCTAAGACTGAGGACTGTTGTGGACTTTGCATAGCAGAGACCCTGAAACTTGTATACCCAAAGATGTGTTCTTTCCATCTATTCTGGGGACTCTGCTTTGTTTGGGGACATTGCCTCAGGGTGTGATACTTGGGGAGCATCACCCCATCACACCTTGGTATAGATGGAATGGAGTCTTTTGAATCAGCTCACAGTATCTCACACCCATATTTGATGATTAACATGGGTGAACAAACTGGCTCATCTAAGTTCTGGTTACCACAGCAATCTTGATTTCAGTTTTAGTTAGCCTTTGCTGTGTAACAAAGAGCTCCAGAAGATAGTGGCTTAAAACAACCACAATTCAATATTTTTTAATGAGTTGGCAGGATGGTTCTTCTGTTGGTTTCACTTGGCTCACTTCTGGGGCTGCATTGAGCTGGTGGCCAAGCTGGAAGGTCTGTGATGGCCCCACTCAAGTGTCTGGAATTAGTGTTCACTGTTGGCTGGGGTGGCTGTATATGGCCTCTCATCCTCAATAAACTAGGCTAGCTTCCTTCCATGGTAGTTGCAGGGCAGCATTCCAAGAGGGCGCAACACATCTCGATGCCTAGGCTGTAGAACTGTCACGCTGCATTATGTCTGCCTCGTTCTGTTGGTAAAAGTAGAACACTAAGCCAGCTCACATTCAAGGGGGTAGAGAAATAGACAGCATCTGTGAGGGAGGAACAGAAAGGTCCCATTGTCAGGGGCTTGGGTAGAAGTAGGAGGAATTGTAGCCATTGAAGAATTGATTTCCACCCCCAAACTGGTTTTCTTGGTCTCATCTGCCAGCCATGAGAGTATTTTCCAAAGTGAACAATGAAAATCATTTCTGTAATGGTAGCATCCTTTGAATCAAAGTTCTTAGAAGTATTGCTTAGAAGGAACAATTTTAATGTATTTTATTTAAATCGTATTTGTTTGAATCAGAACATCCATTTTGTTCCATCTCAAAGATTACAAAAAAATATGAATTTACCTTAAATTTATTTTTTCAGTAGAATAATAGAGGACTTTCCACAGTCTAGAGGCAAAAATGGTTTGATCCTGTCTTTATCTTGCCTACATTTTCTTATGTCTTATCCTTTCTTTTGCCAGATGCCAGATATAAAAAGGAGCGGAATAAGAAAAAGAAGGTGACCAACATCATCTCATTTGATGACGAGGAAGATGAGCAGAACTCTGGGAAGGTTTTCAAAAAGATTCCTGGGGCAGGGGAGAGCTTGGAGGAAAACTCTGACCTCTCCTCGGTCAATATCATGTCAGCCTTTGAAAGCCCCTTGGGGCCAAATTCCAACGGAAGTCAGAGCAGCAACTCATGGAAAATTGATTCTCTGTCTCTGAATGTGGAGTTTGGGTACCAGAAGCTCGATGTGAAAAGCATCGATGACGAGGACATGGATGAAAACGAGGACGATGTGTACGGGCCACTCAGAGTCCCCTGAGAAGTACGTTGCACTGGCACTTAGCAGAGGGGGTGGTACATTCATTAACGCATTGTTTTCTCTTTCTGCACTATTGGGTGAAATAAGGCCGCAAGTTTTTTTGTGTTTAGGGCACCATTCATTTTTCAGATCTCCATTTAGGAGGAAGGAGTGTGCACTTGCTCTTCTCCTGAGATCTGGGGAAGGGTAGTGTATTTGAAGGTACTTACCCCAAAGTTGGTGCCAAGAAGCATGCCTTGAAATTCTTGCTTTATACATACATCGTTTGTTTCCGTTGTTTGGGTTTTCCTCACATCTCTAACTTTCCACTACCCAGGGGAGCTCAGGAGAAAGGCTGGGTTATACTAGAGAATAGTTGTGGGCTGGTGACTTCTCTGTTTATCTATAAGGGTGTGAACAGCGCTCATTCACTGTGCCTGCTGCTTTAGCACTGGGCATGCAGTAGGTTTATACCTGCAGGAGGGGCTGGATGCACAGGAAGGCACAAAGCAGGAAAGCATAGTTAAGAGCTTGGATCTTGGAATCAAGACAAGCTGGGTTCTCATTTACCTGCTGCATGGCTTAGGCTGGCCAGAGTGGGCTAAGTTACTCCACCCGCTGAGCTTCCGGCCTCATTGGAGACCTGGGAGGGAAACAGCACCTGCTTTGTGGAGTTGTCAAGTTGATGGGCTACTTCCTGTGTGTGGGGCCTTTGGCACTGGGCCTGGCATGTTGAGGAAGGTGACACAGTTCAGCTGCTGTTATGCTGCTCTTGTGAGATTTCCTGTGCTTGGTTTTATCTTTATGCCAGATAAGCTAGTTACCTCTTCAGGTGGGCTTTACAGTGAACAGTGCCACCCTAATCATGGCCGACTTCCAGAGTGTGAAGTGAAGATGCTGAGACCCCCTGGTATGGTCAAGGGGGCCAGAATGTCTCCAGCCCTCAGCTTTTCATCTTCATATTTTAGTATGATTTTTTTTCCTTCTCATGAGACTATGCCTGCTTTTGTTTTTCATTTTTACTTAATGTCCTCATTCACATGGATACCTGCATTATTGATCATCCGTGATATGCCAGGCGTGGCAAGCTACTTGCTAACTTTATCGTAATTATTAGAGCTGCCCTGGGACGTTAGTGGGAGTCACTTCCACTTGATGGATGAAAGGACAGGATTCTGTAGAGAGCTCAGATTGGTTAGAGCAATTCCAGAAGCTGGGATTAAGGGTAGGTTATGTTGTGCTCCAAAGCTTATACTGTCAAATATTTTCCGTGATTTTACATAATTGTGAATATCGATTGGTTGACATTCAGTCAGATCAGTATGTCATGACTTTCTAAAGGTTCCCCCGTTGTTGAGTGTTTAAATTGTTGGCTTTTTTGTTTTGATTTTTGCTTTTTTATCAGCCATTTGGAAATGAGTCTTTTCATGCACAAGTTTTTTTCCTACTCCTGAAGTGTTTGTTAGGGCAGTGTCCCAAAGCAGTGCTTGAGCTCCTGGGGTATGAATGCTCTATACCTGGGATCCAGGTCTTGTCACCTGCTGTGTTAGTCAGGTTCTCAGGGAAACGGATCCAGCAGGATATGTGTGTATGTCTACACAGGTGCAGTACGTCCCCTTATACATGGTTTCAGTTTCCCACAGCCAATGACAGTCCCGAAGCAGGTGATCCTCTTCTTGACATTTTATCAGGTCAGTAGTAGCCTGACACTACGTCACAGTGCCTATGTCACCTCATTTCATCACATAGGCATCTTATTATCTCACATTATCATCAGAAGGGTGAGTACAGTACAATAAGATGTTTTGAGAAAAGGAGAGACCACAGTCAAATTTTACACTACATTGTTATAATTTTGCTATTTTATTACTAAAATTAGTGATTTTTTACCATGCCTGATTTATAAATTAAACTTTGTCATAGCCATATATGTCTAGGAAAAAAATATGGCTTGGGTAGTGTTCCATTCCCTGCAGTTTTAGGCATCCAGTGGGAATCTTGGAATGATCCCTCTGTAAAAGCAGGGAACTGCTGTATACATGTATGTACCTGCCTCCCTCTCTCTATCTAGAGACACTTATTTTAAGGAATTGTCTCAGGTGATTGTTGAAGCTTGACAAATCAAAGTCTGCAGGTTAGGCTGGCAGGCTGGAGCCTAGGGAGGAGTTGCAGTTTGAGTCCAAGAGCAGTCCGATGGCAGGGTTTCTTCTCCTTTGAGGGATCTCAGGCTTTTTCTATTGAGACCTTCAACTGCTGGGGTGAGGCCCACCCAAATTATGGAGGGTGATCTGATTTACTCACAATCTACTGATTTAAAATGTTAATCCCATCTAAAAAATGCCTTCACAGAAATATCTAGAATAACTTTTAATCAAATGCCTGGGTACTGTGGCCTTGCCAACTTGACACATAAAATTAACCATCACTGTTACATTTTGTTCTTAATCTGGGTCTTTTAGGAAATGCGCTTTGCATTCTGTGTCTCTATAGGTGAGTGAATCTCTGAGTTGATTTACTCTGTGGGTTTTTTTTGTTTTTTTTTTTGTCTTGGATGCAGTCATTTCTCTTCCTTATTGACTGGTGCCACTGAAGGGAGCCTGAAGGGGAGGCCAGCTTGTGAGCAAAGGTACTGTTGTCATTGTGATGGGTGAAACACAAAACAGGGTAGAGGGACCTTTACAGGGGCCTGGGCCCTCCAAGACCACTGGGCCTCCCCTGGATTATAGACAGCTTCTCCCCTGGATTATAGACAGCTTCTCCCTGTCATAAAGAGGGGATTTTGATTGAACATTCCACTGAGCATCTTGGGGAAAAACAGAGGAAGGATGAGATGGCCTACTGAGTAATACTTCCCTTTGATTTCAAGCTAACGTTCACAGGAGAGGTCTAGGAGCCTAGAAGGGCCAGATTAACAGCACAGCCAGATCTGTGGGGAGAGTGGCCAGGCCACTAGGAGCACATTGTGGATTGCCATAGCCTCTGACAAAGTCACCTTTCTGATTGTCTTTAAGATGCACTGTTGGCCAAAAGTTGCATTTGCACCATTGTTTGCTGGTCAGCAAACCTTTCCTTCAATAACTGAGGAAAAATCTTGTCCCTCTGCCTTGGTATTTACAGGCGTTGGTTTTGCTTTTTGTTTTTCTCTTGAAAGGATAATACCTTTATCAGGGAAAGGGGTTTTTCTGTCACTTCCTATATGCCCTGTGACACCAATAGGGAAGTGGGGTGAGAACGTAATTCAGAAAGAATTACAAACATATGGAAAAACGTTGTACCTCACTAGCAATTCAGCAAATGCAACATGAGATCAGACACTATATTTTGCCTGTCATATTTGCCAAGATTTAAAATGAGAGCTGTATAGAAGGAGAACCCTGGGGGCAAGGCTTGTGCTCAGTGGGTCTCAGTCTCGGTGTCTTCCAGGTGCACAGTGGGCATCAGCTGTGGAAAGAGCAATGAGGCAGGGCGGGTGCACAGAGTGTCTTCAGAGAGAATCATGTCGACGGCCCTCTGGGGGAAGAGGTGGACATAGTGTCAGGAGCCTTAAAAACGTTCATTTGCACTTGATTTAGCAATTCCACTGCTGGGAATCTACCCTGTGGACATCTCAGGAGAAAGGTTCTGCATCCACATACACAGTCTTTGTTTAGAGAGGCAGAACATGGGGATCTACCTACACGAGCAGCCACAGAGCAACAGTTCACAGCAGAATGTTTGGTGGTGTAAACGTTTAACTTAATATCCTAATGCATAGGATCTTATACATCTTCAATGACATTTGAATATCTGGGTAGTATGAATACAAACTCACTCATTAATGTTGAATGATAAAAGCAAAATGTAAAATCCTGTATTTAGTTTCATTACGACCTTGTAAAGAAAAGTTTATTTGGGAAGAAAGGAAAATGACACTAAGGAAGTAGTATCTAACCCATTAGTTGTGTTTTGGGTGATGTGGCTTTGGAAATGTATTTTTTCTCTTCTTGTTGGTTTTTCATAGGTTTTAAAATAAGTCTTACCCAAAAATAAGCAATACCCATTATGTTTTTAAGCCAACTGTGGCACCACATTCTGGATTGGTCCATGCCTTAGGAATCACTTCAATTTAACTCATTTTGAGGTAGTGGCTCTTGGCCACTTTTACATGGAGTCCAAACCTCAGCAGGTGGGGTGTGGCTTCACCTTGCACTCTGCACATGTTGCTGGAAAGTGGCAAGATTTCTTCTTAGAAATAAGCAGTAAAGTCCACTAGCTTGGAGCCTGGGCAATGGCCAGGAAATGGTGGGTAGTTTTCCTGCTTCCTGAGGAGCGACTGCCTCTGGGTGTCCAGGAGTCCCCTTGGTCACCAGCTGCTTTATCAGAGCCCTGGGAGGGCAGTTCTTTGTAGATTTTATAGAGACACAGCCAAGATCACCTCAGAACCTGGTGCAAGTTTTGTTCTGCCACCGGGCGCACAGGTGGGAAGGCATCCAGTTTACTGTCTGAGGGTCTCATTGTGTGTGCTACCTGCAGGATTAGATGATAAGCTTTGCAAAAATTCTGTTAGGATTATTTCCCCTTGTTTCTTGCTTAGTGTCAAATGTATAACCAAAAGCTGGAGAGATGGAAAGGAGACTGTATTTGACAGGCCTTGGAGTGAGAGGTGCATTCGCCTGCAGGCCAAATCCACCTGGAAGCTGAGCGTGGCTGTTATATGTTTTTTAAAGGGTTGTTAAAAAACAACAACAACAATGAAGAATACTTATAGCCACAAGGCCCGAAATATTGACTGTCTGGACCTTTGCAGAAACATTTTGTTGACCCCTGCTCTTAACAAAAGAAAAACCATGTACTTCACGTCACATGCTGGGCAGTGGGTCTGGAAGACCTGGGCTGGACTCCTGCAACCCTTGGTTCTGTCCAAGGTGATGAGCTTGGACAAATCACACAATCTCTTTGGATTTTTGTCCTCTTTTCCCTGCTTCTTCCCTCCCTGTTTCTCCTCCCCTCCCTCTTTGCCTGCCTTCCTTCTCTATTAAGTAGGT